TTTAGCTCAAGAATATTACTTCCGTATTAAAACATGAGTACATTTGAAATGTCAGCCTGTGGGAATTTGTCATATTTATAACTTTTTGCTTTTAAAAATTCTTTATTACTATTTTGTTATTTCATGCAAACGGTCCGAAGCCATAACTGACAATCCCTAAAGGAGATGTATTACAATGATAGGACAAATCAGCACAGTCATCTACAGTGGGCCCAGACAATCACAGTCCGTGACAGCATGTGGGTGGATGATCAGGCCGTGATGCGTTGTCTGCAGTGTGGGATGTGCTGTTATGACACCAGGGCATTACGGAGAGACACAAATTGCGAGTGACAAACTCTGCTCTCGACCTGGTGATGACTATGAGTGTGATGTCACATGCAGAGGTATTATTTGTTCTGCAGGACACTTCATTCTGAGTGTGTGTTTGTGTATGTGTGAGTTACTGCAAATACATGTTCATTCATATATAGAAGGAGGTCATTCACAGTGATCCAAACCTCAAATTTTCCAATTGCTTTGATTGCAAACTGACATTAAAACACACATCTGCTAAGAACAACACATAATGCAGGCATCTGTCAACACGCTGCTGTATTCACTTTTTAAAATTCATCAATTATATTAGTAGCTAAAGGGACATTTTGCACAAAAGAGTGGTCAACTCAGGACGCAGTGACGTTTGCTGCTGAATGCTCCACTGTTTTCACTGGCTAGTTGCTAACATTGTCAAAGAAACTTTAAACATTCAAGTTGCGGACTGTAAAACCACTGAGCTTAAAGACGCTTAAACACTCCATCCTACTAAGGGTGATAATTCTCTGTGGGTTATCACTACAGGCAACCCCTGTCATTTCCCCCCATTTCGCTACTTTTAAATCTAAAAGTAGATTTAAAACACTCCTTATAAGCAATTCCTGCTCTGGCTGGCATCCATCTTGAATACCATGGCTGTGCACAGGGAGCTCCCTCATTAACTTCTCTGGCTCATACTCTATTTTGGAAACAAACCCTCAACTTATTGCATTTCCCGCTGCTCAAACATGGATAATTGTGCTCTGAGTAAATGGCCTTAATTAATTCCCATTTAAATAATGCCACATTATAACAGTAGTTTGCAAAGTAACAGTAATATGATAATGTGTATTTTAAGAAGCCAAAAAGTTGGACAAAAATGTTATTCATTATGCATGCATTGTTAGGGTTGCCCAACAAATTGGCTCTGAATGCAAATGGACTTGCCTTGTCTGGTTTTTGTATGCCAACCAGAAATCGATGTTTCTCATGCTGTGATAGAGCAGCAAGTGCTGTTGAGGAGAGGCCAGACTAGTTAAGACTTGTTTCTGTGGCAAATTTCCCCATGATGCTATAAGACACAGTAGCTGTACAATAATCAGCACGTCCTTAATCCTGTGGCAATAGTAGGAGGGAGCTTAGGTGTGAAAAAAAAAAAAATAGTAGGAGAAATTTTAGGTGTGTAATTTTCCAACATCAGACCAGTATCTCCATGAATTCTACCAATGTTGAACAGTCATTTACACCCACACTTAGTGCCAATGTTCAGTCCCAGTGCCAGAAGTAGTGTAGTCAGTAGGGGTGCAAGACGGAAGGTAAGGCCGTGTAAATGTTGGGTATTGGACTTTCATGCAGGAGGCCACAGTTAATGGCACATCACTTCAATAAACATTTTTATTAACTCCAGCCTTTCTTATCCATATGTTGCTACATGCAGACATTGTAGAAAGCAAGTCCCTGACAAAATATTGGCATTTTGACCTTCTTATTTGAAGATTGCAAAATAGTGCTTGAAGCTTGGTGATGTAATGTGGTGGTTTGCAGGCACTGTTGGTTGTGGCCAGTTTTGTTTGTCGCAAAATTGATGTGAAGAGGAAAGTTTATGGTGGTTCTCACTTGGCCATATAAAATTGGAAGGTGTGATGCAGCTTTCTCTGTCTCAGTTCCCTTAAAGGTCAACACTGTCATACCAGTATGGAATTTGTCCGCAGCCCAAATGTGTGGGTCAAAATAGACTACTTTTAAAAGCACCTTGTGAATTATCTGTGTGAGTGAGCATCACAGCTGCATGGATTGCCATTAAGATTTCCCTCAAGGCAAGAACACAATTGACTTGCAACATCCCTTGTCGCTAGTATCGTACACGTTGTTCTTTGACACCTCAATACTAAGGAAGAAGACATCCAGTCCACACATGTGCTGAAGCATTTGTCCTGAAGGTACCTGTAAAATCCAGGTAAACCACTTTTAAGCACCCCTCTTAATTTAACACAGTTTGTGTCTGTGATCTGCCACAGCACTCAGCCTCATCAACCTGTACGCGTACTTTTAACACCGTTCTCCTTTTTCCGTTTGCAGATGTCCTCTGGGTGAATTATAAAACCAAATGAGGGCCAGAGGAGCACTCATTGAAATTCTATCCTCTTGATTGCAGCAGCCTGATGCACGAACGGAGTGCCTTAGAAATGAATGGGACTCAACTGTGTATTTGGTAAAAGAACTACCTCTCACTTACCTTTCAAGGCACACAGACACTTCTCCGTGTTCAAGGATTTGCTGACCTACATCCTCAAAGTCAAATTTGCACTTAGAAGCGCTATCAGGGTATTTGACACTTCTTTAAAAATTTACAGGTTTTGCAAAAAACCTTTCACCCCAGCTTCCTCTGTAAAATGGTCTTGCTCCAGGTTTTTGGCCCTGCCTCGGAGAGAGCCTCTGCAGGGCACTGGTTTACAGGAAGGAGTGACACAATCAATTTGCAGAGCAACTGACACAATCAGCGCCTACATAAATCATATCAGCACAGCCAGGCCCCCAGACGCCTGCTGAGGTGACAGTTTTATGGCTCAACTCGAGAATGCTACCTGCCAATCAGCAGGGAGTGACAGATACCAGAGAGCAGGTACTCCACACTGTCACACTGATAGCTCGGGTTGTGGGGATTATTTTCAAAATGAAAACTGTATTGCTTACCTGCTTAAACCTGCAATCAGACCATTGGATTACTACTGTACACGATCAGAATGATAAGGTGATGTCTTGATGTTTTCACGAGATTTTTATGAAATCAAACTCTGTTTTTGATACCATTTATGGTCTGCATTCTTTCAGCAACAGCCATTAAATGTATCTACATGTAACTACCTGTTTATCAAGGTAGTCACTGTTAGTGGCGAGGTCCACCATTCAAATTTCCTTCCAATGCATAAGTAGTTAACAGAAATTGTGAGGAATGTAGGTAATCTAACAGTACTGTTTGCGTTTATCTAATTGATATCAGCCCCACTGTTTATTGGTCACCATCCTACAGCCATCCTACAGCTATATCACAACTGTATTCAAGCCCCTGAAAACTTGGTTTCATGTCTTAACTATCTCGCTGCAACATAAAAAACGTACTACTCGATAACCAACACTCAAAATTAAAGTTCTGAAAAAAATCCAGTTATTTGTTAAAAGTTAAACAATGTAAAACCAATCTGCTTCATTAGGACTGTGTGGTTGTGGTTTGATCAGGTTTGATTGACAGTGATGACAATATAAGCAGAGAACCCACAATTATCATCAGGGTTTGATTCAAATGTTGCTGAATTCTGATTGGTGCCCACTTCAAACCAGTGAGAAGACCTCAGACAAAACAGAAAATTATTGTAATGGTAAGACGTTGATTGAGAAAATAGGTTACCAGGGCCTTTAAATTACTGCCAGTGCACATTGAACATTTCCTACTGCTGCTAGTTAAAATTAAAAACATTTAACTGGCAAATCACGGGGTGGCTTTTTGTGAACTTAATAACTTTAAGTTAACCATATGTCTATATATTGTTTAATTCCTGCAGTGTAACTTCTTGCAGGATGCTATAACAAGTGAATTAATTAATTAATGAATCATAACCATAAATTTAATTTTATAGTGTGTGTTATTTATTTATATTAATTATATTGTTAATATTTAGATTGTGGTGGACATCCTGCACCTTAACCCACTTATTCTCCTTGACTCTAGTCATCTGCAGGCAATCTCAGAAATTTAAATAGGCTAATGAGGGTGGTGGAGGTGGACTTTAAAATACTTGCCTGTGAATGTCTACCACTATAGGCTCTGCCTGCTATTCTGAGTGAATAACTGCGACAAGCCTCAGCACCCACTGGAACGACACATTTATGGCTTGCTTTCAGAACACTAGCCTTCACTCAGTGCCTTCAGTTCTGAGGACCAACTTGGAAGCACAAACCCTGATATAGTAATTATACTTCTACCTTGTGGAATTGCAGAAAATGCCCTCTTTATATAACTTGCCTAGAAAAAGCGGATCAACCCTTCACACTGGCGTCATTGAATTGCTGTTTATAGACAGACACATAACTGACATTTGAAGAATAATCAAAATGATGTATGTTGTGTTATTTTTAAGATAATGTGCATGAGATTCAGTAGTGGAGCGAGTATGTGGATCTTCCACTAGAAATATTCCATTACAAGCCTCACAGTCAAAATTTTATTGAAGGAAAAACAACAGAAGAATTAGAATTAAAAATGTACTTAGAGTATCAAAAGTAGAAGCGCTCATTAGGCAGAACTACTGCCTCTATTGAATTATCTGATTGTTATTACTTATGTATTATGAAATATACGTTAATTTGTAGTTAAAGGTGTAGCTAATCTGAACTAATTTTGATACTGCTGGGTTTATTCCGTAAAGCATAATTTTAAAAATGCATCAGATGTATTCTGTGTAAAATCGTAATGAAAAAGTCACCAGTGACTACAGCTGTACAAAGTGCTATATTTCCCTCCGAGAATGAGTGCAGTGAAGTATAACGTAGCAAATACCTACAAACTGTACTCAGTTACATTACCTGAGTGAATTTGCTTAGTTATGTCTCAGCACTGTTGAGAGTTGATTTCAGTGATTGCAAATTGGCATATTTTGAAGGATACGATGTGGTACAATTGCAAGTATTTATTCCATGCCAGCGGCTAACCGTTACAGCATCTAGCAGTATGATTACAAAATTTGTGGCGTAAGTAGCTAATTCCCGTCCAATCAACTATACAGCCAACGCATCAACTGGAGTGACAATTCTGCAGCAGTCCTTTGAGACACTAGCCTGCCAATCAACCTGCCCAGGTAATGTAGCTTTCCACCCCACCCCCCACTCCCCCCCACCATCTCCCCTCCCACACACACACACATCCTGCCAATCTATCATGACAGACAGGTTTCAAACATACTCCCTGTCACAGCAGAGGCAGCAGCATGGGTTAGATAGCAGCAGGAGTGAGAAAGGACTCAAACAATTGGGACGATTTCTTTGTTCTGAGTAGCACCCCGTGATGATTACAGTGTCTTACAAAATGGCTGAGAACCAGAGAGAAGCTGACCGGTCTGTCACATCTGTTTCATGCTGTGCTGTCACTGTAGGACCTTACTGCCAGATACCCTATGGAGAACGTTGTTAGCATAAACAAAATGCATTATTTATGTTCAAGCAGCCTCTGGGACATGTTCTCTTTGCTGTAGACAATAGCTGCTTTCTCATCCAAGTACTTTATGCAAACTATGATGTAACAAAATCGAAAGGTAGAAGGGGACGTGAATACTTCAATAATAATTGTTTGTTTGATGTGCAACAAAAAGCCTTTTTTGTCGTAGTATTTACAGTAAAGAATCGGACCATTACTTCCTAAAAGTACAACACATACTGAAACATATGTACTTTTCTTCACTTTGATCTGTCAAGGTGCATTTACATAGGACAGCTGGTTGGAGCAGGTCTGGAGGGCAACCAGGAGGCCGGTGACTAAGGCGGAAAGCCTCTGGAGGTTGCCGGTGAAGGTGGAAACCCTCTGGAGGCCAGCGGCAAAGGCGGCACCACTCAAGAGGCCAGTGATGAAGCTAAAATGCTGAATCTGAAACCAGCAGCTGGAGTACAGAGAAGAAGACCAGCAGCGGAAAAACAGAACTCCAAACCACGACAACTAGGGAACAGCCAGGTGAGCTGGTGGAGCCAAGGAAACAGGAGATTGCTGCAGCTCAGCAGGAACAAGAGATTGCCGCAGCTGAGCAGGAACAGGAAATTGCAGCAGCTGAGCAGGAACAAGAGATTGCCGCAGTTTAGCAGGAACAAGAGATTGCCGCAGCTGAGCAGGAACAGGAGATTGCTGCAGCTCAGCAGGAACAAGAGATTGCTGCAGCTGAGCAGGAACAGGAGATTGCCGCAGCTCAGCAGGAACAAGAGATTGCTGCAGCTCAGCAGGAACAAGAGATTGCTGCAGCTCAGCAGGAACAAGAGATTGCCGCAGCTGAGCAGGAACAGGAGATTGCTGCAGCTCAGCAGGAACAAGAGATTGCCGCAGCTGAGCAGGAACAAGAGATTGCCGCAGCTGAGCAGGAACAAGAGATTGCCGCAGCTGAGCAGGAACAGGAGATTGCCGCAGCCGAGCAGGAACAGGAGATTGCTGCAGCTCAGCAGGAACAAGAGATTGCTGCAGCTCAGCAGGAGCAGGAGATTGCCGCAGCTGAGCAGGAGCAGGAGATTGCCGCAGCTGAGCAGGAGCAGGAGATTGCCGCAGCTGAGCAGGAAAAGATGTGGCCTGAGGCTTGTGTTGGTAGACTGGCAAGTACAGGTAGGCCGTTTCTAATCACGTTATGTATGTGCATTTTTCAGTATCGCATAAGAAAAGGTTGAGGGAAACGGCAAAATTCAGAAAACAATCCTTAATTTTGCAGAAATGTTTTTACACTCACTTGAGGTGATTTTTGCCTTTCTCGAAAAAGAGTAAATGTGCTAAATGGGAGATGGAAACACTTTTGCCGAAAGAAGTTGTGATGTAGCAAACATGATCAGCTGTCGGTGTTTTGCCGGACATTCCCATAACGTACAAAGAGATGGCTACTAGCAACTTGCTAGCTTGAAACACATTTCAGAGGACCTCTCCGTTTGTCTAAGATCAATGGCCCTCAGTTCCATGTGACTGGTTTTGTTTCTGGTTTTGAATCCATACGTCTTGTTTATTACAGAAATGTGTAACGTCAACTACTGACGTAACTATGCTTGCCGTAGCCTGGTTAATTAGCTCCAAATCCGCTGATGGAAACGCACCTATTTTGCATTTACTTTTTCTTGTTTGCGACATTTAAAAAGTCCGCTTAAAATTTGCATGACACTTAGATGGAAACATGGCTACTGTGGTTGAAGAGAAAGACTCAGGAACAAACTGTGATATGATCTTTACACAATTTCTTTTATTACCTATATTAACACTAAATAAAATAGTTTATTTACTATTTTTGCAGAATTATGCAAGAAACATATATCTATGTGCTAATAAGTACGTTTAAAAACTGAAAAAAGTCAAAGGCAAATATAAATTAACTGTAAAATGTGCTCATTAACTTGATGTTATCTCCCTGCTTTAAAGCACAGAATAAATGAATGAATGAATTTAAAAAAGGCTTTAAAATTATGTTTTAGTAATGGCTTTACTAATGTCTTTATTTAATTTAATTTGTCTGCTCCTATACTACTGCACCTTTTATAAATGATCAATTAGTAAACCTGGCCAAACTTACATAATGCAGGAGTAAATAAATCCAGAGCTAGCATTAACTGATGACCAACATTTGAGGTTAAATTTAGCCTCTTACTAATTAATTTACAACCTATTAAGGTACAACTATTTAGTTATATAGTGCTGGAGAAATCCCAGTTTATACGTCTTTGGCAGACATATCAATTAAGGCCACTGTATGTCTGTAGGGTGCAATGATGTTAAACTGGCCCTGCAGGACTGTCTTTAATTGGAAAAGTAGCACGACTGTGTGAGCTTACTGGTGCACAGACAAAAGAGCAGTATTGGATGTGCACTAACATGAACATATTTGTTGTTCAGACAAGCAATGAAATACCATTTCATAACAATGAGATTTCAACAGGAATGTAATTTAACTGCAGGAATCGTAATATTATCAGGTGCAACGGGTGGAGAGAAGCATATACTTTCAGCAGAAAATGTAATTGTGACATCAGACATATACTTCAGAGCTTGTCTTCACCGGAAGCTTGATGGAAATATGGCATTTCTGTCTGTTTAATGTAATAATTTGAAGAATGTTACAGTCTCTTCATCTCTCCACATATATCTGATGTTTTTGGCAGCCACTATTTTTCAATATATAAAATTGCATGCTTCATGCTTTATTCGCTAAGCCTGTTTCTATCGCGCTTTGTTGCATTTTACTTTTATCGTTCCAATACCTATATCAGATAAGGAAATGCAGGTTGTTTTGGAAGCCAATGGTAGGAGTGAGGACTTCTGCTATACTGCACATGCTGTTGTATCTCCAGGTGTTTGAAGTGGAGAAGGACACATATGTGGTCTAATCTGAAGGTTAAGTATAAATATTTCTGTGCTATTTCTAATGCTAACATATGGCATGTCAGACATCTGGTGTGATTAGGACATCATAATAGGAAACACATTCTTGGAATAGATACTGTGATGCCTTACAATGCATCTTACTATAACTTTAAAGTGTTACAGAAACCTTTAAGAACACATTAATACTGCCCTATTTCGAAAACATCCCCAGAGAATAAACTCTATTAGCATAATAAATATGCTGATGACAAACGCTGCATGCCCATTTAAATGAATATCAGTATCTGACCCTACGACTGGACAGCAGGCTCTTCTGCCATTTCTTATCAGCATACTTCCACCCACCTCTCTTTCTATCTCATTGCCTTATCTTCCACTCTGAATGTGTCCTGACAGGAAGCAGGGCTGAGGTTAATACCTATAAATTGCTTTGCAGACACACTCAGGGGCCCATGGCTCTGTAATTAAAGCTTGTCCTGCATCAGATGAAGATATGAAAATATCATTATTACTTCTCAGATGAAAAGATATTAAAAAGCAGCGTCTTGCTTCCTTTTGGGCAGGAGCTCATTCGTCAGCAAGGGGAGGAAATAAACAGAGCCTAAATACATCTAAATAAGTCTTCAGATACTTTGATGGCTTGGGGAGTGCTTGGTTTATTTGGCAAACTAGATTTTAAAAATAATTATCAACATTAGTCTTTGCTGAAAAGTTCCAGATCTTCATATGAAGTGTCATTGTCGGATTATTCATGCCTCCAAAAACCAAAAATCCTTCACATTTGAGGTACATTTTAAATGTGACCAATGCTAACAAATAGAAAAGAAGGAGAATTTCTGTCACCGCTTTGGGACAGACAATAAAGCTATCTATCTATCTATCTATCTATCTATCTATTGCTTGCTAGTGTAGGCTAACATCACATCAGATTTATCCAGAATTAGTGTCCTAAAGGGTGGACCCTACTTAATGAGGTGTTCCAAAATCAGGCAGATTGTTTTAGTTAGATGTCTAAATTATATTTTACCTAATGGAGGCCATACAACCATCACTGTGCCAGCTAAATGGCTGATGAGTATTATCAGTTAACAACTAACAGCAAGTTAGATTGAGTAGATAAATACACTGCTCAAAAAAAGGGAACACTTCAGGAATATCAGCCTGTCCAGGAAGCATAAGCGATTGTGAATCAGTGTCACCTGTTTTGGTACAAATGAAAGAGAATTGGTGCACTTGGGAGGCAACAGCAAGACCCAACACCCCAAAAGGTAATGGTTTTGCAAGTGATGGCCACAGACAGTTGCTCTCTCATTATTCTTCCCGACTGATTACTTTCCAGTTTTGCATTTTGCTAGTGCCCTTATTGTCACTACTGGTAACCTGAGGCAGTGCCTGCAGCCCATTCAGGATGCACAGGTAGTCCAGATCCTCCAGGATGGCACATCCATACGACGACATTGCGAGCTGTTAGCTGATGAACACAGAGCATGCAGCAAGTGAATAGCCAGATTATTCCCCAGGAGTTAGTGGCAACCAGAACAGCTAAATGGAGAGTGAATGTTGGAGTTATGTTTATCAAGTGGCCAGAAGACAAAAAATAAACACTGTTAATCAGTGTCTGCTGAATATGTCAGTCTATTTTTGCTAACAATTTTTTTGCTAACATTGCTAACACGTTTTATCAGTTTAACAGATGATAATATATCATTGGGTTTACAGCTTGTTTCTGCAGCCCCAAGTGGACATTTTGGCAAGTTTGCATGCTCTTGAAATTGCTTAAATTGTGTAATCCATCACAGTGAACATCAAGTCTGAATCACATTTCCTCAGTTACATTATAGCTATGCAGTAATTTGGTGCAGATTTTTCAAATTAATCTGCATTAAACGTTAATTTTATATTGCCAAACTTATATACATACGTGTTCATGATAGATTACACATTTCTCTAGCAAGTCTCAAGAGTGTGACAGTTTATTACATTACAAAAGTGAATGGAAATCAATGGCTGTCTGGAACAGGAGGAAAAAACACATGAAAAACACAGCAAAATTCTATGCAAGTGTGTAGTTCTAACACTGGTATAGTCATTTTAACCTGAGCTATATCCTGTTACCAAAGAGGTGAGACTTGTTCCTGAAACATATTTTACTTGGACTTTTAACTCAGAGTGTGACTGACTCAGTTTTCTTCCTCCCCCTTGTACCAGACCTGACAGAAGACAAATGACGGCCCAATCGAAACCCATCCATCAGAAAATAGCAAACAACTGTTAACAGAAATGGTACATCTTTTAAATATGAATACCTTTGATTTATGCGCCTGTACTCCATGGATTAATATGATTACAGTTATTAAACCTGCAGGATAATGAGTTATGGAAATTCCCGCTCATGAAAGCTTCTGCAGACTGCCTATTAAACATCATTCATAATCAGCTCCTTAGTATACTGATAGGATAGATTGTACCCCCACACGCTGCCATACCAGATGGCTAATATTTGGCATGCAGCAATGGAGTGACAAGAGCTAAATTAGAGCACTGACATATTGACATTAATATTGGCATGAATAATTGCTAGAAAACCTATGGCTTAAAAAGATAATCAGAATAATCATATCGTACATGACACATGTTAAACAAGTCCATTTTTTCCCTGAAGCTTATATCATATGATCTACACCAGTTGTAAAACAAGCAAACAAAAAAACCTTACTGGATTATGTTTATGAAGTGCCACTGATTCTTGGCTTACCCATAAAAAGAGCCTGCAATGTATTTGCTAAATGGCTTGAACAGGCAAGAACACAATAACATTTCTAAGTAATTCAGAGTATGACAATATAACTGAAAATCACTATCTTCACACAAGACATGCAATTAAGTTATCAACGTTTTTTAGAATCATGGAGTATGGCCTAATGAGTTATTACAACCTCTTTTGTGTCTCATTTTAAGCCTCGGTAGCTGCACAGCTCTCTCTAGATTGCAAAATTGGTCAGTTGGGACACAACTGTGGTACAGACTGAGATGTCTCAACAACTATTGCATAGATTGCAATAGTTGTTTTTGTACCGAAATCCTTGTTCCCTACAAGATCAATTCTAATGAGTTTGGTGAACCCGTGACTTTTCACCACCACAACCAGGTTAAAATTTCAGTTTGCCCAACTCTTTAGTTTATGACTATGTACCTGCAAAGCTTAGTACATTATCATCAGCCTCAGCTGTACTTTGCGTTTCGCG